ATCAAAATAGGTGTTGATGAAGTTCGTTGCCCTTAACAGTGTACCCCACCGAACACGTATTGGATGTTCGAACTTTCCAAGCGACCTGAAAAATGATGTAGCTTCAGGGTTCCTGCTCAAAACGTGGCTAAACGTTTCAATAAATTGCAATACACCCTGATCACGTCTAAATATTTCCTCAGACATGTTATGCAGGATGTGCGCAAAGCAGGTGACGTGCAGACAGTTGATGTAATGGCCCGAGAACAACCGACACCAACGGATGTTGTAGGAGGCACCATCAGTGATCAACAGGCAAAGCTGCTCATGTCGCAAGCCATACTCAGCAAATACCTGAAGTATTACGCTGTTTAGCATCTCTGCGCATGCCGAACCTGTGATAGCTCATGATGCAATCAGAAATCGTTTATCAGGACGCATAATCAAACCACATATGACATTAAATATCTTATGTTTCTTCCTTTCAGTCTCATCTATTATTACATAGACCTGTTGGTTTGATATTTGCGTCCTGATAAGCGCTTTCTGATCAGTTGCAATATCAGCAACCATGCGCCTACAAACCGACTCACTGGGAGCTCCAACGGCCAGATCGTCAAACATACGTTTGATAGAATCTATTCGAAGCTTGTAGAGAGGAATATCAGCTTCTAGAAAACCTTTCGTAACAGTTTTCGCGACCAACCNTTGATAGAATCTATTCGAAGCTTGTAGAGAGGAATATCAGCTTCTAGAAAACCTTTCGTAACAGTTTTCGCGACCAACCTATCGTTTTGATAAGTTTTTGTAGATAACACATTGAGTCTAGTACATAAAACATTATTTTTATGTAATATTGACCCAATGTGTCGCCTGACATCCCTTGATGTAAGGGATTTGATGTCAGTTCTACACGCACAGCAAAACAGAAATCTGTTTAATACCGAAAAAAGCGTTTCTGGTTCTAAACTGACCAATTCAGCTATCTTTGCAACCTTACTTTTTTTGATTGTCCCATTTAGTATAAAATTCAAGGTTTTTTAACATGTAATGGAGAATGACAAAAAGCGAGAAGTAAACAAATAAAATATTTAAAATGCCATGTTGGTTAACCCCTAAAATTAATATACAGACATTCGACAACAAACAAACAATATTTACTCATGTTTCGGAGGAGTAAAAAACGCACAATTCCTGGGTTGCCCTAGTACTGGTTTGCTGTAGAGCCCTCTTGAACTGAAAGTACTCATCATTCATTTCTGGCTGTACTGTCATCATTCTGCTTAGTTCATAGAGTGGGATTCGATTTCCTTCTAAGGAAACTGCCTGTTTGTCTTTTTTACCCATACTTCTTTGCATAAACTTGTATTGACTTGGCTTGAATCTTCTATTGAATCTTATTTCTGCTTCTGTGTCAGATGTGGTCATATCCAGCTTCACATGACCAATTGTCTCATTCTCTAGACATTCCTTTATTTGGTTGCTGAGATACTTTGGCATTTTGACTAGAAATGCTCTGGTTGAATTTCTATTGATTTCCTTAGGCATAAACTGGGGTTCAATNAAGGAAACTGCCTGTTTGTCTTTTTTACCCATACTTCTTTGCATAAACTTGTATTGACTTGGCTTGAATCTTCTATTGAATCTTATTTCTGCTTCTGTGTCAGATGTGGTCATATCCAGCTTCACATGACCAATTGTCTCATTCTCTAGACATTCCTTTATTTGGTTGCTGAGATACTTTGGCATTTTGACTAGAAATGCTCTGGTTGAATTTCTATTGATTTCCTTAGGCATAAACTGGGGTTCAATACTGGAATTCTGATATTTTCAGGTACTCTGTCTGATTGAATAGCAGTAACTATTTAATCAATATTGATCAGTGGCTGTATATAAATTATTTTCCTGTGATGCCTTATTCATGAACACAGAATTCAAAGATGTTAAAAAATCAATCAAAAAAGAATTGTCATCCAAGGCGCAGATTGTCAAGCTGTTTGCCAGGCCAAACAAAACAAGTGGCCTATCAATTGGCCTAGTTGGGCTGCCCAATGTTGGAAAGAGCACCTTGTTTAATGCATTGACCAATTCGGCTGTACGAGCTGAAAATTTTGCATTTTGCACCAAAGATCCTCACCACGGCATTCTCAAGATTGAAGATGAACGCATTGAGTTCCTTAGCAGTACATACAAGCCAAAGAAGATCTGTAATGCCACTCTTACGATCGTAGACATCGCTGGACTGGTCAAAGGTTCTTCAGAAGGCATTGGCCTTGGAAATCAGTTTCTAGAACACATAAGAAGAGTAGACGGCATTTTTCTGGTCGTACGTTGCTTCACTGACTCAGAAATAACTCATATTGACGGCAATATTGATCCAATTCGAGATATCAACACGATCAAGGAGGAATTGAGACTAAAAGATGTTGAATTGATAGGAAAAGTGAAATTCAGAGCTGAGAAAGTGGCATGAGCTGATCCACACAACAAGAAGCTCCAAATGCACGTGCAGCTGTGTGATAAAATGATTGAAGTCCTCAAAGAGAAGTTCATCAGTGAGGCGGAGTGGACTTCTGAAGATGTTGAATTCATCAACACAACGAATCTTCTGACTACTAAGCGAGTTACAGTCATAGCAAACATATCTGAGAAGCACTACAAGGAGCGTAAGGGAAATAAGCACCTGAAGGCTGTCCTGGACCAATACAAAGAGAATACGATAGTTCTCTGCAGCAAATTCATAGATGGGGACGTGATAAAGAAACTGGTCTCCTATGGTTTCGAAACACTTGATTTGATAAGTTATTTTACAGTAGGAAAAGATGAAGTAAAGAGCTGGACAATACGAAGGGGAATGAAGGCACCAGAGGCTGCTGGAGTGATACACGGCGACTTCGAGAAGTATTTTGTGTGTGCTGATGTCATGGAATACGGGGATTTCAAGGAGAATCCATCTGAGGTGAAAATGAAAGAGAAAGGCAAGTTTATGCAAAAGGGAAAAGACTACGTTGTTAAGGACGGTGACATCCTACACTTTAAGGCCAATGTTCCAAAGGGAAAGAAGTAAGAAGCCTAATTTAGGTAAATGGGGCCTTATGAATTATTTTGCAAATTTTTATTCTTTCATCCCCATAAAATGGGTAAAGAAGTTGCTCCAGCACAGGTGTTGAAGAGAGACAAGCTCCCAAAGAAGGCAAGAACAAACATCACAAGAGGCGTGCAAACTGAGACAATGATGAAGGTGATAGACAATTCTGGAGCGAAAGAGGTGAAGATCATTGGCGTAAAGCACCTACAGACCAGCAAGAACACAATTCCAAAGGCAGGGCCTGGTGATGTAGTTCGTGTTTCGGTGAGAAAGGGAAAGCCAGAGCTGAGAAAGAAGGTGGTTCTTGCGATTGTGGTAAGACAGAGGAAGATTTGGAAGAGGAAAGACGGCGTGAATATCTGCTTCGATGATAATGCGTGTATTCTGGTTAATGAAAATGGCGAATTGAAGGGAACTCAGATTTCTGGTGCGATTCCTAGAGAAGTTGCAGAAGCATGGCCTAAGATTGCATCCCAGGCATCATCAATTGATTAAACAGTATTTACTACAGCTATTTCTTCCTTATATAATAGTCGATTCTCTTTTTGGCTTCTTTTTCGTCTCGTTCTGCCTTGTCTACGCACCTGTTTACGTGTGACTCGAATACAACATCTGATTCGTGAAGAAACAGCTTCTGGCACAGGAAACACTTCCGTGGATCTATTGCCTTCTTTTCCACCACAAATTCCTCTAATGTCTTCAGGTTGCTTCGTTTTGATAAGTCACTTACAGTTACGCCCAGCATCCTGATTTCCTCGTCCACTACCTTCATTTTGCTCTCATTCATCACCACATTCTCCTGTAACAGCTCTACCACTGTCTCAAAGAGTTCTCTGTGCCTTTTCATCACAAAATTAATCTTCTTCCTCCGTGTAACAAGCTTAAATGTGCTATATTTTATCACAAGAGTCACCACCATTCCATACATGTCACATTTCTTCATTCTTTGCCACACTTGTTGCGATATCTCGTACAGTCGTTGCACTGTTTCGACATAGCTCGTTGTTTTTCTGATTGTGTAGCTGTTTCCAATTGATTTGAAGTTGCTGTTGTATTTTGATGAATGTGCGAAATCAAATTGAGAGAACCCAAATGACAACCTGAACACATTCAGAAATGTTTTGGTTGGAAAGACCAACGCACATTCTGCATGTTTGTTTCGTAAATCAGCCACTGTTGTCACTTGAAACGTCTTCGACAGCCGCAATTTGGTCATTTTCCCAATCCCATTTATTTTGTCACAGGGTAGGTTTAATATGTATTGATCAAAATTGTCTATAATACACAGTTGTCCATTTGGCTTGTTTATGTTGGATGCAAACTTTGCGTGACCTCTACATAGTGATATTCCTGCACTGATTGTTAGTTTTGTTTTGTTGTAGACTGTTTGTCGTATTTTTTCTACTAATTTTGATATACTGGTGGTATTGAATCCACCATATTTTATCTGATCATTTTTAGCATTTGTACTGTTGTGATATTCATAGGCCTGAACTAATTTATCCTCATTGAATACCATACACGACTCATCAATTCCGTATATTTCAATCTGAGTGTCGTAACAGCTTAATATTTCCATGATCACTTCAGAATAATAATTGTACTGATTCATTTGTGGTGGTATTATAACAAGATGAGGACAGAGTTTCTTAGCGTGATACCCTGGCATACCTGCCTTTACGTTATATTCTCTTGCTTTGTAGTTGCTTGTTGCAATCATTGCCATGCTTCCAACTGCAAGTGGAACATCCTTTAGTTTTGGATTCAATAGTGTTTCAACGGATGCGTAGTAGCTGTCCAAATCAACGTGGACGTAGAATTCATCGGGATCATCAAGTCCAAAGAGAGCTGGCCATGCCATTTTCAATTTGTCTATTTCCATATCCATATCCACGTAATTTCGTGCTGCCTGAATTTCTTCAACTCGTTCTGCGTATTTTTGTCTCAAATTCTCTGCTTTCTCGTGCACTGCGAACATTCTCTGTTCCTCGTTCTCCTCAAACAGCTCTCCTGTACTGTTTACTACTGTGAATTTCACACCCTCTACCATTCGTTGAATTGGGGATGTGTTAAATTAGGAAAAGAATGTTAGGACAAATTGACTGACCGAATATAGTGCTAGAATAACTGTACAGACACATTTATCAAATATTACAATATGAACGAGTGGTAGATAACTGGTCAGAAGGGCATTAACTTCACGAATCCGCAACACCAATCATAATCATCATTCCAGTTTGTTACGAGATAGCACTCAATCAGTTCATTCTTCTTTGTCTTTTAGTGAATTTATTAGTCAGAAATTAATGGGTAAAATTTGCATTATTTTCAAGTACTCGACATTTTGAGAATAGAAGGCGTAATATTGATCAGCTCATTATTCAAGATGCGCCTAGTTGACTAACTAATTGAATCTCAATATAAACTCAAACGGGTAATGTGTTTCAACCAATCAATTTTAGATAAATTAAAAAATATTGTGGAACCTTATGAAGATAAAGAGTGATTATGTCTTCTTCATGGTACTGGGAATCATTACTGCTGTGGTAGCAGCAGTTGCATCAGTCGTAATTTGGATGGTTCTTAAGAAAGTTCAGGTAATGAAAAATGAAATGGAGAAGGAGAAAACAGGAACAGAGAAAGCAACAACAAAAACAATCAAGAAACCAACTCAGAAGCTTGAGGAGAAAATGACTATTTGGCCTATGAACATGAACTTGAAGAAGCAGATGACAATACAAAGGTGATGGCAGAATGGAAAGAAAGAGAGAAGAGGAATCAGGAAAAGAGAATTAGGAAGTAAAAGGAGCTGGAAGAATATCAGAGAAAGTTGAAGGAAATGAAGGAAAAGGCTGAAGTAGATTTCAAGGTGGTGCAGAAGGAAAGAAAAGTTGATTTGGAGAGGTTTAAGAGACCAATAATAACAATTCAAACTTATGCACAACCAAACAACAGAGATTATTATGGATTGAAGAAATCGAATAGAATCAGCAGAATACAAACAGCGAAGGAATATTTGAAGACGTGTGCAAAGGACAATTTCATTATAAACAACCTGAATAAAATAGAAAATGATGTGGTAGAGATGAACAGAACCATAGGGGAACAAAGCTTAAAACTCCATTTTCTGCTGATTATGGAGTACAATGTGGATTTGTACAACTTCTGGTTCCAAAAGGGATTCATGACTGAGCACGATTTAACATCAGATCAATTTTTGAAATATGATCCAGCAAACTACGACTTCTTCATGAATGATGTCTACTACATGCACTACTTGTTTCCATTACCATTTCACAATGATAATTTAATGAAAAAAGATAAACCAACTCTTAAGATAATACGAGATCAATTTGTGGGGATGAAATACAAAACACTTGTTACGGCAAAACTCAAGCAATTCCTAAATACATTTCTTGAATTTATGAAGGATGCACAATCAAAGAAGAACGTGGATTTCAAATCAGGAAAAATGGAGAAACTTTTGGAACACATCACAATAAGCTGCGTGTTTCTAGATAATGATTTTGATTACATTGTGTACGGGAACTTCTTGGACCAATGTAAGGTTTCATTGGGAATCACCGGTTTTGAAGCACCACTGAGGTATTCAAGGGAAAAGCTATTTTCATATATAGAAAAAGAAGCCAAATTACTAAGACATTATGGTGTACCAGTTCCAGCCTAAGCTAAATAAATGCTTATTGATTAGAGAGATATTGCATCCTGTTTAGACTTCTCATTGAGACACTGATAGCTTGAATTAAAATTGTAATTGTCTCTGTAAGAGTGAATAACACCAATCCTTTACTTAAGATATTTAAAGTCTTTCTGACATTACTCATACCCATTAAGGTGATGAAAACACTCATCAGGTGTCTAAAAGATCAATTGTAGCTTTCTCCAAATCACAGTCTCTTTTTTGTGTTAACAACACATATTTACAGGAACACAAAAACGAAAGACAAATCAATTCTCATGTCTGGATAAAGTAATCAGGTCAGACTATTTCATACTCATCTATCATTTCTTCTAGACTTTGGTCATCATTCCTGATTGTGACTTAAAACCAGTCTGAATATTTTGTGATAACTGATCACTAAAATTGTTACATGCTAGTCAGAGTTATTTTTCTTCACTAATTAGCAGGAAGTTATTATTTATCATCATTCTAGATCAGACTTATTATTGATCAATGTTACAAATTAATTTCCTTCTTTTTCAGAAGCAGTGTATTCATCATTGTTCCTGGTCAGACATGTTTATCGTCAAAGTTAACCGAGTGAACTGTTAGTCATCATTCCAGCAGATAGTGCACACTCTTCTTCCAAACGGATCAATTTGTTTTCTTGTTACAACATAAATCGCGTTTATCCTCGACTATTCACATTTACCCATATCAACCCCATACAATACCGATTTATTAAATAGAACTGGTCAGATAGCTATTATGATCAACAATCACCCCTAGCAAATATCTCTTCATCCCAGCCATGGTTATTGTAGTGCTAAAAGCAAGCACAAGATGGCCAACTAAACAAAAGACTCTGAATAGCATCTCGCCATGGGGTAAAATTAGCACAAAATTTATAGAAAAAAAGAGATGGGTGGATTATCCATCATGTTGTGTCTGTTTTGATTGTGTCAGAAGTTGTTTTATTTTAGTCTGAGATATTTGGACAGTATGATCATCAACCTGGAACCAATTGTAATACTGTTGATGATGGTGGTTTACGTCGTCTTCATTCTCTACTTCATTGGGAAAATTCAGAACCAGAGTGACGTAACCAAAGAGAAGATTGGATTGCAGACTGGTGTACTCTGTCTCCTCTTCATGAACTTAGCCTACTGCTTTGTGGCACTAAAGGCGGCCTATAGGCACAACTTATGGGAATTTGATGCAAACGTGAGTTTCCTGAAACTGAAGCAGGCACAGCTGATTCTGGAGGCAGCCACCAAAACGTGTGTGATGTATCCATTTAAGATATTTCTGAATGACTTAGACAAATTGAAGGAATTTGGATTCAAAGACAACACATTTAAGGCAAATGCACTGGTTGGATACAACATTTTTAGAATGTTCATTTTAGGTGGACTTATGAACATAGCTGGTACAGACTATACGCTGTTTGTAGTTGCATTTCAGGCATTTGATATTTCTGAGGCAATTGGAATCATACTAATATCAATGTACGTATTGTACCTGATAGAGTGGTTCAAGAAAGAGATCAAGGAGCAGATGATTGTAGACAAATTTGGTATAGAAAGACTGCTTAAGAGCTGGAAAATGGGAATGTGCTATATTCTAATAGCGATGATTCTGGAAATAATATACAGAATAACATTTATACAACTATCTTCAATGTTGGATAATGATTACACACAGATTGCCAAGGAAGTCACGTGCTTTATTAGGATATTCTCCAATTTGGCTGAGTTATATGGGATCTCATTGATGATCTTCATCACAGACAAACCAGATGAAGATGATTTTGAGCCAGTAAAGAAAAAGCTGAATGAAAACAAGCATACTGATAAGAAACAGAAGGAAGACGACTCTTCTAATATTTCAGTGAGTGAATTCAAGCATCTTGTTGGAAGAGACCTGAAGATCTGAATCAACTGTGAATAAATTATGCATTGCTTATCAAATGCATATCATGCTTATAATAATCATCGTAGTTCTCGATATTGCGAATGACATCGTCCAAATAGACATTTCTTCTACAGTTGTAGAGACACAGTTTTGACTTGCTGATGTTTACGATGTGAATGTGTAGCTTGTAGTACGATGGTCTGTAGTGGAAGAAGAGTACCGCATCCTCTTTGCTTAGGCCAAACGTCTCCTTTAAAATTGAGTGAATTTTGGTTCGTGTTGATTTCAGCAGATTCAGGTCGCATTTGTCCAAATTACGTAGTGACTTGTATTTTTCATCTTTGAAGATACAGAGCAGATATAACTCATCTACGTTTCCATTCCACTTGTAATCCGTAGTAACCACCAAATTGGCATCCATATAATAATTTGGTCCAGTTTTAGTATTGACTTCATTCATAAATATTTGATCAATCCAAGGAATATCTGTGACAATATTCTGCTTACAATAGTTTTCGTGGCTTTCTTTGATGTACTTGTTCTCATTAAAATACTTGTTGACATCCTTCTCTGTTGCTGGATACGCTAATGTTGTTCTGAATGTTACGTTTGTAGCAAATTTAGCACTTTTAGGTTCCATTCTTTTTCCATCAATTTGATCGAGAATAATATCGTTGCTCAACTTCTCAAGGCTGCTCGTATTATCAATAAGATATACGAATTGTTTTCCTTCCATTTCTCCTACCACAACAATCAAACCTTTCATGTGATTGATTCTAGAAATACTGAAATTTTGCAGTAGCATTTTGGGGTAGAAATTAGTGATTTATTCGTATTTCAACTGATTTGATGCAATAAACCAAATCCACCTGAATCACACTCATTCAAATTGTAAAATATTTTAGCCTGATGCTTGATAAAATTTTTAATTCCAGTAAGTCGTATGATTACAAAGTTCCATCAAACTACTTCGACTACCAGGCAACAACACCAATAGATCCACGTGTTCTGGAGGCAATGGATCCGTACATGAAGGAGCAGTTTGGGAATCCCCATAGCAGAACCCACTCATTTGGATGGGAATCAGAAAAAGGACTTGAAACAGGCAGAAAGCACGTAGCTGATATGATCAATGCTGATGCAAAGGACATCATCTTCACAAGTGGAGCCACAGAGGCATGCAATTTGGCACTGAAGGGCATAGCTGAATATTATGATCATGATCTACATATCATTACACAGCAAACAGAACATAAGGCAGTGCTTGAAACATGCAGATATCTGGAAGACAAGGGCGTAGCTGTGACGTATTTGCCTGTGATGAAAGATGGAAGAGTTTGCATGAAAAAGTTAAAGGCAGCTATTACACCAAAAACAAAGCTCATTTCAATAATGGCAGTTAACAATGAAATTGGTGTAATGCAGCCATTGGAGGCTATTGGAGAAGTATGCAAGGAGAAGAACATCGTATTCCACACTGATGCAGCACAGGCATTTGGTAAGATACCAATTGACGTAAAGAAGAACAATATTGGACTAATGAGCATTTCAGGCCACAAAATTTATGGTCCAAAGGGAATTGGAGCATTGTATGTCAGAAGAAACCCACGTGTGAGACTGGTGAAGCAGACGTATGGTGGAGACCAAGAAAGAGGACTTCGTGGTGGAACAGTTCCAACATTTCTGGCAGTTGGTTTAGGAAAAGCAGCTGAATTGGCTAGAAATGAAATGGAGGAAGACGAAAGCAAGGTCAGGAGATTGAGTAAGGTGTTCGTGGACAAGCTGAGAGAGAAGTTGGGGGACGAAATGGTCGTGAATGGAGAGAATACGCTATCAAATTGCGTGAATATCTCATTCCCATACGTAGAAGGAGAGGGGTTGCTAATGAAGTTGAAAAACTACGCTTTGTCCTCAGGAAGTGCCTGCACGAGTGCGTCATTGGAGCCATCGTATGTTTTAAGGGCTCTTGGAGCATCAGACGATCTGGCTCATTCCTCAATACGATTTGGATTTGGTAGGTTTTCAAAGGAAGAAAAAGTTAAGGAATTGGCTGAGAAAACAGCAAATGCCGTGACCGAATTGCGTGCGATGTCACCTTTGTATGAAATGGTGAAGCAAGGCGTTGATTTGAATACAATTAAATGGAGTGCATGAAATAGAATTTTACAAATTTATCCCTGTGATGGAATTGAAGAATAGAACGAATAAGAACACCAGGAAAGAAAAGAGTGTGATGACAAGACACGTGGATATCAGCGATCTGAATGAGAAACTGATATACACCACAAGGAAAGCAAATAAAACGTGTGCTAATCTAGTGAAGCATTTGAGATTGATGCTTAGGCCAAAAAGTCTCAAAAGTTTTAAGGAAACGTACACCAATGAAAAAGAGATTGAGAAGTTTGCAAATGAGTTCTTAATCAGTCATGTGATATCAGTTAAGCAGGTGAATACGGATATCATGCTGCAGATTAAGAACAGGAGAAATTCTAAGATTCATAAGTTTGAAGTGGTTGAATATGATGAAATATTCAAAGATTTCACTAATGAAACCTACAAGGAGAATCCTCTGCTCAGTTTCAGTGGTTTTGGTGCTGAAAAAGAGATTAAGGAACTCTTTGAAAAAATGCATGGGAAAAAGGAGAAAACGTTTAAGCGCGTTTTGGCATTCCACAAAGAAGACGATTTGATTTTTATAAGGCACTACATTCACAGAATAACTGATAATACAAAAGATTATGTTGTGAGCTTAAAGGAGATTGGACCAAAAATAACACTGAAACATATTAACAATTAATAAGTGATTGAATAGTGCGATTATTGAGTAAAATGGATGCCATATGTTACATATAAAATGTTGCTGCTAATCTGATTAATTCTTGCCTATTAAAGAAAAGATTTACCAAAAATATTTTAGGGAATACGACTACAATTCTTTACCTGAAATATCTGATGTCTTTCTGTCTCTTATTATGCTCAAGAAAATGATATCCTGTATTGAATACTTGAAACTCAGTCGAATTGTTGTTCTCACTGAAAGACACTATTAAAAATGAACACGGTTATTTTGTAGATGACACTACAGATAGACAATTTTACTAAATAGAAAGTCAATAAAAATTTCACTATGCTTATCATATCACTTTATGTTAGTGTTGTAATATGTATTGTTATACTACAAACCTATCCGCCGCAGCCAACATCACCAAATCACAACTATGTGTCGTTTTTTGATTATTTTCATTGGCATCCTAACCCCATTATGATATTTGCAATAATCGGTAGTGGAAGAAATAATGATCAAGATAGATCAGTATCTGAATTACAGCGGTTTAAAGGTGCTGGTTACACCAGGTTGTTCTATTTGACATTCATGAAGTACATTTGGAGAATAACAAGAAACCGAATTGCACTTGTGGTGATAACAGTGCTCTATTTCATTCAGGGATTTGCGAACACGAAACTGAGTTTGCAAAAGGGTGCATTGACAGATGCAATTGTGAAAAAAAGAGACAATTCTGGGTTTGAACTTGCTAAGGTGACTATGCTTCAAGTAACCACTTTAATCATTGGTGAAGTAAGCAAAATGATTTCATGTAGTGCAATAAACAAGGCATTTACATCAGCCTGTACAAGACAGTGCAGAAAAATCATCACTCAAATCCCCAATCTATTTGATACGTTTCCAACAGCAAATGTGATGTGGAACATTCAGATCTATGGAGAATCAATCAAAATGGTTTGTAGTACAATGATGGATGATATCATTCCACTAATAGCCACAATTACTACATACTCTTATACGACATTTCGGGTGATCAATCTCGTTGCTGCATTTGCATTGATATTGGTATGCGTTATTTACATATTTTTGGTGTATCAGATGCACCGTGTTAGATTGAATCAGCGAATAAGCAACAGTATCAAACTAGACAAGTGTCAAGAATTACTTAAGAATACATTGGACAATCAGGAACTCATTTACATGAATAACACGTTCGAATATGAAACCAGGAAGTTCTCAAACTATCTAGGATACACGTATGATCAGGAGAGTGAGTATGTTAAGAATAACCACAGAATGGCTGTGGTGTTGGGGATGTTCTTCTACTTCTGTGAGATGCAGATTCTATTTTATGAGTGCTTTATCCGGAAGAACCTAACTGTAAAACAGTTTACATTCTTCAGTTTAACATTGGGGAAGCTACATACACAGCTTAAAAGTGTTACAAGAGTCTGTAGAATTATATCAACTAATTTGATAATGATCAGGCTTAAGATGGATATCAGAGACAATAAAAGCAAGCCAATTTCAGTTAAAACAGAAAATAAAAGTATTGCACGAACAAAGATAGAAAACAAGGCAGAATTCAAGCATGAATGGAGCATTAGGAACCTGAATTATTTGAATTTATTTACAGGTGCATCATTGACAATAAGAAAGGGAGAGAAGATAGCAATAACAGGAAAGAATGGATCAGGAAAAACAACACTATTAAGATGCATGTTGAGACACATTCAGACGGAAGCAGAATCCAAATTTGATGAGAATGTAATTGACTCTTTTGATGAAATCAAAGATGCGTTTGGATACATACAGCAATCCAGCACATTATTCAGTCAGAGTGTCCATTATAACCTGAAATATGGTAACAAACACCAAGAGATTAACAAGATTTACAATGCAGCAAGAGATCTAAGTGTTCACGAAACCATAAAAAGCTTATCAAATGGATATGAAACAATTTGTGGAGAAAACGGGAACATGATAAGCAGAGGAACGAAACAGAAGATAGCACTTCTCAGGGAGTGGATTAAAAACAAGCCAATTCTATTGCTTGATGAAGCAACCGCAAGTATTGAAACCAAGGATGAAGAAATGATTTGGAAGACAATTCTGAGCAAGGAAGACTTAACTGTCGTAGCAGTGATGCCTGAATCAGAGAAAATGAGGTTGTTTGATAAAGTTTACAAAGTAGAAGACAAAAGAATCAAACTAATCAGGGGATAATAAACTATTAACATTATTAATCTAATATTGTTTCATCCACTGTATCAATTGTCTCGTCCACTGTATCAATTGTCTCATCTACTGTATTGATTGTCTCATCTACCGTATTAATTGTCTCTTCTGCTATGTTAGTTG